ACAAATGGTTATCCAACATCTTCTTAAAAACTTTCAGTGTTGGAGCATTCACAACTTCTGGAGGCAAGTTGTTCCACTGATTAATTGTTCTAACTTTAAGTGATTGTTCACTAGGACTCCAAGATAACTCTCACAGTCACTACTATTGAGTCAGCTACCACCTATATTATACCTGTGCATTTGGTTTTTGTTAATAATAATAACCTAATAACTCCAAAGGGGCATCAGGATTTAGATAAAGAGTTAAAGATTATTCTATGTTCCCTCTTGTCTATAACTCTCCCTGCACTTCTTCTAAGAAATTACAAATTTCAGGTCACTTCATTCCATCCAAGTAATTGGCTAGTGCTAAACACTTCCTATCTGTATAACATATTTCTGATAAAACATTCTCTTTCTTGTTACAGTTATGAAACCTCCTTCATTAATTATTGCTCTGGGTGGGTTCTCAGCTCTTAAAAATGCTCTCATGCACAACCAGGAGAATTCAAGTTCCCAACATTTTGAAACAATGGTTGAAGGATTTGCAATAAGCTGATAAAACATTTCCCCCCTTCTCTTTAGGATAAATAACAAGAACTTTAGTAAAACATTTCCCTGGATAATTACCAAACTGGTCCATTCCCAATTTGTGAGTTTCTTGATTCATAAAGCAGAACACTTACATACCTTGCTTGATACAGCTGTAATCTATAATCCAGCTTTCATCCCAAAACATTTTTTGTTTTTGGTACTGAAACCACTAAAAGAAAGAGCAGAACAAATTTATTCCTAGGAATTGCTCCTTTGAGTCCAGCAATATTGCAGCAAGGGAGAGAATACCTCATACATTGTCAAATGTAAGCAATTTTGAACAATTTAAGAACTTCCACACTGCTACTCTTTTTAACCAAAGTTCATGCCTAATAACATAACTCCCTGAAGTGTTACAGATAGAGCAGGAAGCAAAAAAGGAATCCTATTATATAGAATTAGCAATTATTAATCTGAATCTTGTAGTAATTGCATCTATTACTTATCATATCAGGCAATTTATTTATATTCTTATTTATAACCACCAATTTCTCAGGAGACTTAAGGCAGTTTACCATATGAGAAAAATAGAACTAAAACCAGTAACAATTATCCAGCAATAGGCATCATTGGCTATTTATCCAAAAGAAAGTATTAAATAATAGTTAAGACTTCTTTGAGAGCTAGTTTAGTGTAATGATTAAAACATTAGGCTAGAAACTGGGAGACAGTGCATTCTAGTCCTGCCTTAGGTACAAAGCCTAAGAGATGACCTTAGGCTAGTTTCTGTTATCCCCAGGAAAGAGGTTATAGTAAATCACTTCTTAAAAAAAAAACCTTTCAAGAAAACTGCAGGGACTTATCTAGATAGAGATACAATTATGAATGGATGAAGAAAAAAAGACCTCTTCATGTTATCCATGGAGACAGTTTTAACACAGGAAACAACATTGCTGTAATATATAATGCACTTTTCACACTACGTTATAAACCAGCATCTGCTACATGCATCAGCCTAAGCAGCAACATACTCAGAAAATTCAATGGAAAGTAGTTTTCCATCCCATCTCCTTTAAGAAGCTGTATATATGACTATATCCTTTTGCTTAGATAAACACGGATACACACACAGACACACTGACACACAAGGAGGGAGGGAGGGAGGGAGGGAGAGTGAGAGAGAAGCTGTTTTGGCCATCAACATTGCATTTTGCCAGAATGTCAGTGGAGTGGAGGAAGAGAAAATAAACAATAAAATATAAAGATATGCAAAGTCTATAGGAAAGAGCAGGAGATAATGAAAGAGGAAATGATAGAAGAAACTCCATGGAGTGGTGAAGAGCACAGGTAAATTTACTCTGGTTGCAATTATAATCCTGACCCAATTTGACAATTATAATCCTGACCCAATTTGACAAGGTCATTGCCCCAGAGCAAAGAACCTGAGATGTCTTTTAACATATTCATCATATTGGTTTTAAATGGTTGTATGAATTCAACTTTAATTCCTTTCCATCCCACAATGCTTCTTGAAAAGCTGAAAAGACAGAGTTTTTCAGCCTTTTTTTTGAACCCTCTAACGTGTAATCATTTGTTAAGCTGAGTCTCTGTCTACCCATCCGCAGCGGAAAGACAATTTATAGTGAACAAAATGGCAAAAGAATGTACCCATCTGTCAGGCTCTCTAGAGAGGATCTCTGTAACTATCGGTTCCAAAAATATATCTCTGAGTATAAGGCCATCACGGTTGCATTTCACCCAGGTACATCCATGATCCCAGCAAAGAAATAGAACAAAGCATCCTAGTTTATAATATTAAAGACGGTTAAAAACTAGGTACTAGAGAAGGATGAAGAAAATGGGAAGGAGAACAGGTGAATGAAGAATGTGAGTGATAACATCTTACTTGATACGTACCAAGATTGTTAAAATGGAACCAGTGCAGACTAAACATATTGGTAGAGCAATGACTATCTTGATTTCAGTTGTCAAAGGACATTCCCCACAATCAGCTGGGCATATGGAACAGCTTTCATCATCTTCGCAAATGTCATCGCCACAGACTTGAGCACAAAGAGAAAGAACGATCAACATCAATAATGGAAGAAAGAGAAGCACAATAAGCCTTAATGGTAATTATGTAATTTAAAAGAAAGGTGTTTTAAAAAGCATCCAATGCCATCAAATGTAGGGCAAGATTGGGTCAGCAGATGTTAACGTGAACTTGATAATTGGCCAACTAGGTGTACATGAGACTCAAAAGGCAATTTTTTCCCCTCAGGTTATTCAGTGAAATGTGCAAGTGAAGTAATATTTGAACAGCATATTTTCAGATTACTGTCCATACTCTAAATTGTTACAATTTTAAAAAAATGATTGTCCAGTACAAGAGAAGCCTTTAAGTGTTTGAAACCTCTTCTTCAATTCTGACTTTCTAAATATATTAGACTATAGATCAATTTCACCCAGTTTGAAACTCTGTAGCTGGGATGTGGAGACATAATCTAATGGAAACTGAACTACCGTAGTGCCAAAAGCAACTACCATCTTGTTCTTTTTCTAGTCTTCACTTGCATTTCACAAAAAGAAACAAAAGGAAGACTGTTGGAAGACTGCTTACTGTGGCTTTTTTAAAAGAGTAGGATTATGAATGTTAGAAAGGGAAGGCCTTAGAAAGGGAAATTCAGCAGTCTATATCAGAGGTGGTATTCTACCGGTTCACCTGAACCTGTAGTGGAAATAGCAGAAATTGCGGGTGGCCCCACCCACCCGCCGCGGCTCTATGGCATCCCATTTAGACCCTTTTTTCCCCCAAAAGTGCATGGGAGGAAGGTTGTGCACATGTGCGCATACTCATGTTTGCGAACCAGTAGGGAAGGTAAGTGTATACCACCCTGGTTTATATACTTTAATTGTAGTCTCTCAGCTAAGTATTTCCCTTCAGATAAAAGAGGTATCCATGTCTGTCTGTCTGTCTGTAAGTCGCAAAGGCTCATATTCCCCCCCCTTCTTCCCCCATTCTCACTGTAATGAACATTCAAGACTTTCTGGCAATTTAAGCATGCTTCTTTCCATATATAACTGTCCAATTTGGTATCATAAAGATCCAGAGGTGGGTTCCAGATCCCGTTCCAACCGGTACGGTTGGAACGGGCCCGGCGTCACCCATATGGACTCACGCAATATAGCAGTAATAGCAGCAGTAATAGCAATAGCAGTAGACTTATATACCGCTTCATAGGCCTTTCAGGCCTCTCTAAGCGGTTTACAGAGAGTCAGCATATTGCCCCCAA